GAGAAAAGGGGATAGGGCAAGCTCTCCAGTGGCTGAGGCACCCCTGCTCTCTATTTGCATACAGGTAACTTGTAAAGCTCCTTTTATGCTCTTGAGATAAAATTCTCAGAAACACCCAAATCTTTGCCAGGAATTTGAGCCTAAGAGTCATTAGGAATCATTGAGACTTGGGGGACTTTTAACGTTATTACCTGCCTTTTGCTACCTTTTGCTGGCTGAGAGCTCCTGTCCTTTATGCATTTCCTCCTGAACACGTTGCTTGTGAACTTTCATTGTTTGTTCCTTTCCAATTCTCTCTCCAAATAGAAGAGAAAAGGGGAAGTCCGTATTTATCTGTTGTGTATCACTCATTGTTTTACACATCTCTATTACCTGTGTACTGAAGAGGAGGTCCTGTGAGCACCGAAACCAACAAGACTGCTTATCAAGTTGTGTGATGCCTCCTATTCCTCCTTCCTGCTTTCCCCCGCTGCTTCCCAGTGTTTTCAGATCCATCTCACACTAACCACTTGTGCTGTGGCTAATTTGGAGAGACCCATGTGGTGGCACTGGCCTCCTAGAAGGGATAAGGGACCGAGTTTTGCCTGCTTCCCTCATAGCAGGAGGGTCAGTTTGGGCCCGTTTCCTGTCCAGTGTTGAACAGCAGTTCAAGAACTGCATCTTTAAGGACACTACTGCTTTGTCACATCTAGTTGAGTTACCTGTATGGTTCAAAAGAAAGGGAGAGAAGGAGAATAACTGGCAGATAGCCAGGATGGGGCACAAACCCCGTTTCCTTAGGAAACCAAACTGAAAGGTGCTTCTTTTCTATATACTTTTTATACAGATTGGTGAGCTAAATGGATCTCTTCAGTCACTGGTTCCTGAACACATGCTGGCTCTAGCTTTCTCTCCTGCCTGAGCTAGAATGAACAGTCCTGAATATAATGTGTAAGCTGGGGATGCACACCGAGTGTCTGTTGTGGTGGTATGTATCACCTGCAAGATTGCTTTCTACTCTTCTTTTCTGTGCTTTTTAATTTTTGCCATGCGACGCCTGGGTATTCTCCCTGGCCCGTGGGGATCCAGAAAAGCACGTCAGGAAGTTAAATGATCTCTTCCAGTGTACATTCCTTGGCATTTGGCGTCCGTGATTTTTCTCTGCTGTCAGACTGTGCTGTCACCTAGGTTAAGTCCTTGTGGCTTCTCTAAGGGAAGTAATCTTGACAAAACTGAACTTCTGCGTCTCCCATGGCAAGACCAGCAATCCTTGCTGTTTACCTCAGCCATATGAGCAATGTGGCCACTATAAGCTTGTGATAGTAAAGACTTTACCCATGTTGTAAATGCACATTAATTATCTGACTGCTGCACGTTCATGGATGAAGGCTGTGTCTGTGCTAGACAGATGTATAGAAAAGCATGTTTTTCAGCTGCCGCAATCCCTGTGTCCAGCAATTTTTGCTAAGTACAACACCCTATGTTCCTTCAGCTATTTTTCAGTAAGACTAGTTCCAAGGCACCTGGATGGACTGTTAGGTTTCTGCTTCCCATAACAAATCCCTGTTTACAGTTGCCCATAGCTTTGGCAGTCTTTAATAGTTTGGGCTGCTGCTTCTCTCTTCCTCTCCTATTCACTGCCTTAGGCTGAATATCTTTGGAAAATTTCAGGTGTTTCCAAGAAACAATAGATAAGGCAATACATTTTATAGTAATTTTAAAGGAGTTCATCCTATCCTGTTGTTTGCCTTTTTTTCCCCTTCATGTGAAGGAACTGATTTCCACTGCTTTCCCTCCTGGAGAAGATTCTGATGGAGCTGTTTGCTGCCATAGCAAAGTTTGCTTTCATTTGGCACCAAATCCGTGCAGAAGTCTGAATTAAAATTTTGTTGAGTGCCACTGTCAGAAAATGCCAAATTGTATTTATGGAGCATATGTGATTGCAGAATCCCAGTGCTAGTGGAATAACTGGCACAACTCTTTCTTTGATCTAAGGAGGTTCTTGGCAGTGTATGAAGGGATGAGCCTGCCACCACTGAGGTCACCTTTCACATCTTTATGGAGCAGGGCAAACAGACTAGTTTGGAAGGTATGAGTGCTGCAATTTGCGAACCGTGTGGTGCAAGGGCCTGTCATTATCTCATGACTTCGTGATTCAGCATCTTACTGGATGTGAGGTCAGTTTGTAGTTCAGCATCACCACACTTGGCTGCATGACACTGGATAGCTCCAGTCTCACAGGAGCCAGAGAAACGTGCGGCCACATGAAGCCTCCAGCATTTAAAAATGAACCTGTTAAATGTAAGTGTCAATTTTTCCCCCTTGCTTTCCACTTTTCCTAACGATTTAAAATAACAAACAGAGCAACATTGCATCTGCTACCACTGAAATGCTTCAGTGGCATGTCACGAGCCCTTCTGGAGTGATTGCTGCTCCAGTCCCTTGAGTGAGAGCAAGGCTGTATACTCTGCTGTATTCACCCCTGTGAAACGGCATCTTTGTATGGGCCAGCCTGTAGCTTTCACTGTTGGCGTATGATTGTGTTAGTGCTGGTTTTGTTCACGTGAATGCCTGTTGCAGTTTTGCAACTTCAAAATATCATTCTTGCTTTAAAGACATGCCATAGGAGGATGTAGAGTAAGTGGACAGGTTGCACCACATCATGTCCCTTAGCCTGTTCCTGGAGCTCCCAGGCTGTAAGGTACCAGGGAGCAGAACGCTGTTCTGGGGTTGCTGGCAGGAATGAGCTTCAAGAGTGAACTCCACGCTGCATTAAGCTGACAATGCAGATGTGCCCAGGATGACTTTATTTCCCACTGCTGTCAACTGGCACACTTGCACAGCTTTGCAGAGTTTGTTCCCATACTGTTCTGATTTGAAACCACTCCAGATCTGTTTTGCTCAGCCCTCTGGTTGCGGTTCTGGCTCTTCCTTCAGTGTCTTAACTCTACGTTTACTTGTCGAAACTGATCCTAGTCCTGGTTCACTGTGAGGCTAGTGAAGTGAATCCTTGCAGAGAGATAACGGGAGAAGGATCCCAGTGTAAAGGCTTGAATTTTCCCGAGTTATGTATATGATTATTTATTGCTTTTGAAAATTATTTAGTTGGAGTGTGTTTGCAGAGATCATGGTCTGAACTGCTGGTCTGTTAGGAGGGAGGGTGAGCTGCTGCTTTTGAACACAGCTGTGTCATGGCTGGCCACAACTGAAGCCGGGATGGGAGGAAGCCAGCAGGTGATTGTGGAGGGGGTTGGTTTGTGCTACAGGACTCTGTGCCCCCTTCTTGGGGGTCTGCTTGCCTCCTTCCTTCCTCTGGCTTGTGATAGGAAAGGGTGCCTATTTAAACGACTTTGCTAATAGAAGTTAGGCAAAGAGACTGTTCTGGATTAAAAAAAAAAAAAAAAAGAACCTTAAATAGAAGTATTATCTGTGTTTGATGCTGTTTAATAGATGTTTTTTCCTGCTAAGTGTAAATCTTCATGGGTCCTGGTAGCACTTCAGCAGCATTCACAAGCTAATGAGCTGCTAATTATCGGCCCTGCCCAGGCTAATTAGTTCTGTTAAGAGTGTATTAATCTAGGCAGAGCTCTCAGCTAATGCAGCTTTGCTGCTTCTAGGACTTGAGCTGATGTGGTCAAAACTGGCATGTAGATCTCTGACTTTGGTCTCTTCTGCATGTACAGGCTCTAGGTAGTGTTGATTTCTCCTGGGAGCCTTGAGAGCTGTTCTCCCACCAGCACAAATGCCCAGTCTTCAGGTCCCAAGAACTTGCACGCATTTGACTAATTTCCCCAATTTAAACATACCTACCATGCACTTCCCTCGAGCATGGCAGCGCTGTGGATGGAGCTTCAGGAGGGAGAGGTTAGAAGGCAGCAGGCTTGGTGCGACAGAAGTCAGCAATGAGACACCCCCTTATTGCACCACGGGGAATAGAAACTACCCTTCCTTCCTCTTCACAGGCATGAGCTCAGGTGGATCAATACAGATCCTCAATAGTTCTAGCCTTAAAGCCCTTTGCTATTCTTACATTTTGCCCAGTGTGTCAGCTGCTTGGAACTAAAGATCTGCAGATTTGTGACAGTGCAGGATGTGGTGTGTTTTGTTTTGCTGGTAGGATGCTTTGTCTTTCTGGGGCTTAGGTTGCAATGTGGTTTCACTTAGGTTCCCAGTGATATTCTAGAGAGAAACTCTATGTGCAGTGCTCTGCAGCAGCCTAATAGCATTGATTTATTAGGCAAATATCACAGTTCTGTTTATGCAGGCAAGTAGGCAAAGTAGCTGCTGTAAAACTCATGTTGGTCTCCTAAAATCGGGAGTGCAAGCAATCTGGGAGAAAAAGGCAAACTATTTGAGACCGGTTGGCCTATTTTACTAACCTTCGTTTCTCAACTTTTTCTTACAGTCCCATGGGAACCTGTACTAAGCATTCCCTAGGTTGCTGCATTTGTGATGTTAGCCGGTACCGCCTCTCAGTGCAGCTTTCTAAAGCTTGGTTAATAAATGGCATCACTTTGGTTCCCCTTTATCTGGTGCCCCATCCCGCTCTCTGCGGGTTCCAGTTCAAGAAGTGATAATACACAGAGTTCACACACAGTGAACAACAGAAACCCCAAAGGGGTTCTTCATACACAATAATGTTGGTGCCAAGTGAAGGAGAAAGTAAAATCAAGCAGACTGTGACTGTGAAAGGAGTGATGCGATTAAACACATTTATCTGGGAAAAGGCCCTTACTGACATGATATTTTGCTTTGCTTTACAGGTACTCGCCATCCCTATGAGCTTATTTCATAGAGGGACTGTAGCCCACTTGATCAGTGGATGTTAAGTCTCCCATCTGAAGACGGGTTGATTTGGTTCCTTTCTGCCACTAAGGATTGTGGTTGGCGAATGTATTTGCCCCACCATCTCTGAGTTAACGGTGTGCCAAGGACAGATGTGAAGCAGCTCTTTCTCTGGATATTGATGTGGTATCTTCTTAACGCATCACGACGCCTCGGGCCCATCGGCAGCACAGGATATGGAGGCTCTTGAAGTTGATGACATTAGCCCTGCCTTGGAAGTGACTGAAGACTTTTTCAATAGTTTTGATACCAAGCTTGAGAAGATTGTGCAGCCCTCTGAGGTATATGGTGTACAGGAGGTCCCCGAACTGGTTGGGCACGAGGTATTTGATCAGATAACAGAAAGCAGGAATCTGAGGAACGTCGCCTCCTTGGCCAAAAGTAGCCTCATCTGGGATCACTGCAAAAATGGCCTCTTGGAAACCAAAGCTCAGACAGTGTTCCCCGCCAAAGACCAGCGCGTGGTGCAGAGGGGAACGGCTGCTGACAACCTTGCTTGGGCAGGGGAAGGGGAGACTGCAGCTTTTAACATCTTCACTATCTGCCAGCGGAGGAGAGACAGGCCTCGCTCGGTGAACGACATCTTGGTGCAGAATGAGGAAGCCTCCACATTCAAGCCAGGACACAACAGGTCACGCTCCGATATCAGCCATGTAAACTGGGGAGTGGTCTTCACGGGCACCTCCCTGCAGCAGCCGCCTGCGCCTGGGGAGGGCAATAACTGCGCCCTGCTCTCTTACCTGGCGTTAACCAAGGGAGAGGACATCCAAGGAAACACAGGTTTGTGCTGATGCTGTATTGTTTCTGTTGATATGAGGACTTTCCTATTTGTTTTGAATATTTATCTTGAAAGAGGAGCTGCATGTTTAAAAAAAAACAAAACAAACCCACCAAAAACCAGCTATGAGGTAGCTCTTAAGATGATAGAAATCAGCATGGCTCTGTTGTCTTTGATATGGCTCTGCCTGCCTGCCTGCCTAAGGATCAGTCTTTAAAGCAATCTTGACTTCTGTTCCTTTCATGGTTTGAAAAACTAAGCTTGTTTTACTTTTTGCTTCTGTTTTGCTAAGTTTGACTCAGGAAAAAATAATTTATTTGTTATGGATTTCTGATCATTTCCTTACCTGATTTTCCCAAACTATAAAATCTTCGAGTGCTAAAGCTGTTGGGAGAATGGCATATCCAAACAAAGGCAGTTTTCCTAAAAGTTAAAGAGCATTATTAAAATTAAAAAGAGAGCATACAAAGCTTTACTATGAGGCCTGAGATCTCTGCTCTGTTTCTTTAAGAAATGCTGGCTACTCAGTCCATAAACAATTAACAAAAACTCAAGCATGCAATTTGTGCTTGTCAATATTAAGGCATCTCTGCCAGCTTTGTATGGGGTACAGGAAGTCTTATTAGATTGAGGCAGGCGTCTCCAGTGAGCCATACGAAGTCACATTTCGGCAAGTGATACTTTTTCCTTTCTCAAACATGGCACTGGAAGAGGTTGTGCTCAGGGCTTCGGAAACACCGAACCAGTGTCTCTGTCTCCGTGATTTATTTTGTAGATGCCAGAAGTGGACTGGGCGCTTACGGAAAAGCAAAGCAGTTAGTGCCACAAAGGTTTAGAATCTAAATAAAGGCAGGACTTAACAAAGGAATTTAAAAACCAAAGGGTTGTGAAAACGTATGTGTGTGCGTATGGTGGAATGGCTCCAGTTATGAATAGGTAGCCTGTTTAGGGTTAAAACAAGCCTTTTGGGTTGGGTTTTCCAGGTAAGTCAGCTATTTTGGAGCATGGAAAGCAGGTGCGTTAATGGTTGTGTTTGTGGATGTGTGCATATATAAACATAAACATATATAATATGTAGGTAGGTATATATGTATATATGTACACACAAACCTGTAGGTTATTGTGTTATATTGTGACATAGTTGCTGTATCCCAAAGAAGGGTGCTCTTGGTTTACAAAGGCAAGTATACTTGCTGTTACTTTTGTTTAGGGAGATAACATTGCTTCCCGTAGAGTGGGGTCTCTGTTCTGTGTCCTTCCCATGGAAGGGATCCAGAACAGGAATGCACCCAGGAGCCTGGAGACAGAGCTCTCAGTTTCTGTCAGCTGTATCCTGGGCATCTCATGGGTTTAATTTAGCATGTAACACCTTTATATACCCGCAGAAACACCATTAAAATCTAGCCATTAAAGGTCAATACATGTCCCCGATAGTGTTTTAAGCTTAATCTTTTTAGCCCGTTTTCCCCACGCAACCCTCAGAAAAAGAAATGAGTTCCGTTACGTACACTGGTTGTATAAATACCTAAGCCATTCTGTGTTTAAAGACTTGTTGATGCACTTGTTCAGTGAGAGCAATTTCAAGCTGCTGCTAGATCCCCAACCTGCAAGAAGCAAGCCGCCAATCCAGCTGGTGCTGAGCAGCATAGGCTGAGTACAGACAGGTCTCCCTTCTGTCTGTCCAGGGCTTAGGCAGCTGTGAGAGTACGTTGGGGTGCACCCTAATGCATTGCACCTCTGTCTGGGGTGAAGCAAATCACGTTACCCTCTCCGTTACACACAAATGCAAGACAGTGTGATGCAACTGTTCATAAAATGAAGCAAAATGAAAAATGGAATCAGTGATGTACGTTTTTCTTCCCCTTCTGGCAAACACAGAAATTTTATTAGGATCTGCAGTGCTGGGACGTGATTGCTTCCGAAGTCAGGGACCGCATACTGCGGTGTCTCCTCCCTCCTGGGTGAGAGTGTCTGCACTTCCAGAAGGTGGGCTGTCTGCAGTGTTGTCCTCCTTCAACCCTGGCTCCCACTTCAGCTGTTCCAGTCCGCTTTGCTTAGAGATGACAGACCCCAGGGAGATGCACCAACCCGCTGGAAGCCCTAAAAGGGCCTTGCTGTATCCAGAGTCGAATCTAGAGCAGGACTTCAAACCAGTGTCTAGAGCAGCTTGATAGAAAACCTTCCATGATGTAACCACGAGAGGAAGAGAAAAAGACAAGAAACACGCTCTGTGTACAGCTGGATCTAACAGTGAGATTCCTTAAGCTAGGTTGTTTCCAGGATTTAGTCACCCCATCGCAGTGTGTACCCAAGGCTTGCCACTTCAGTAGTAGCCGTGGAGTTCAGTGGTAGTCTTCCCAGCCCCTCAGCAGGCACTTGCGCTGTTTAAATGCAGTTAATGCAATGTAGTTTTTCTCCATACAGAAAAAGTGAACAAACTGTGTTAGTGTGATAAACTCTTTATCATTATGATTTCATGTTAAACGGTTTGTAGTTATAAGTACGAAGACCTTGCATCTATCAAGTAGTTTTGTGAAGCAGAGCCATATTAGCACTCTTCAGAAAAACAGAAATTGACAGATTTCCATGAAGAAAACTCTTGTTTTTATACTATCTGCAGTAGTGCCAGGTATCTTATAGCCCATCTATTCCTCGATTTCTCTATGGTACCAGGAACAAGTCCCATTGCTGTGCTCGGTGCTGCCAGAAGTGTAGGTCTCTTCAAAATGGCTTTTTACAGAAGAGACTCAGTATGGTCAAATTCTGGGATCTTGGAGGTGAACTGAGCAAGGGAAGGAAATGGATTAGTAAGAGTAGTCGCAGAATTTCTCCCAGTACTCACCTGTGGCCCAGCAGCAGTCAGTACCTCTAAGGTGCTCAGCCCCCACTTTTTCTATTGCTTTTTGCAAGGGTGCAAGGCGTTTGTCAGTGCTTGCTGTGTGCCCTCCAAGAGCCTTTCTGCATGGGATGTTTGAAGGCAGTGGTACCTTCTTTAAGCAAGGAGAACTTCTGTGCTCTAAAAATACACTCTTTTAGCCTGTTTCCTTAACCTGTTCTGTTCAGCTGCTGTGCAGGTTTTAGAAGGTAGCCATGGTATTTCTTCCCTCTGTGTTTACAAGAGAGCCTGCCATAGAGTTTGCTGCTACTGTGAGCTGAGCTGAAAAAAGAAAAGCAAAAGCAAGAAAGTAGATGTTGCAGGTATGTGTATCTGGGACTGGTAATTGTTCTCCACAAGAGACTGAAAAATGTATTTTAAGGATGGCTAAAAGCTGCTGCAGCTGGTTGAAGGAGTCATAGTGGCTGCAGCCTGTGGAGACATCCCTTTCCAGGGCTTTAATACAGAATAAACGAATGCATATGAGATACTGAGAGCAACCTCAGCCACTCCTGTCAGTCCTCATTGCGGTGAAGGACTTCCCTCTGGAGCCTGCAGAGGTCTCCCAGTCCTCCGAGGCTGGCCAAGTTGCTGCACAGATTAAGTCTTCACAATTTTTTGTCCTTATCTTCATAGTATATTTATTACTATGAGCTTATCTGTTCCTGCTGCTTGCTTTTTTGTAATACAAATAAAATGAAACTGGATCCTTTCCCTGTGCTGTGAAAGAAAATGATCTGAAAAGAAGCTGTGCCTTTTGGGGCAGTATCTCCTTAGGCCTGCTGGCAAAACAGCTGGTGTACTAGAAGCGAGCACTGTTTGTGCTACCGAGCAGTGTCAAGCAGTAAGTGGAGCTAGCAAAGACGGAAGTTGTAAGCAAATTCAAGGCAGCCTTTTGTATTCCTGGGCATGTGGCCTGGCAAACAAAGGGAGAATGCTGCTTCAGTAGTACCCAGCGCAAGCTTGCTTAGATCATTAAAACACAATGTGTGAGCAGTTATCTTTGATAGTCATGTGGATATTTTCATTCGAACACGACCACTCCCGAGAGTGTGGGTGCTATAGTACTTTTCCCAGGTAGCTGTTTTGTTTGCTGGCGGTGCCTGTGAGCTTGGGAACTCCAGAGCTGTCATTGCGCTGAGCACCTGCATGCTGACAAACTGTCCGTACTGCAGAAGGCTGATGCCTTGTACCCCTCTGCACCAAGCAGCTATGGAGGTACTCAGCCAGCCCCATTGATTTTGGGGTGTTTGCAGCACTGTGGCATGGCAAAATAGGCATACCAGAGAAAGGTGACTGCTGTAAAACTGGCCAACAGGCCTGAATTCTACTGTGTCTGATCGAGGCCAGGATTTCGCCTCCTTTCAACTGACTGATTTTAAAAAAATACCTTTTCCCCCCCCTCTCTTCACATTTTTTTGTCTGGCTGGGAACCTAGCCATTGTTTTCGATACTTTGAAGGTATGATCTTGTACTCAGAGTTTGTGCAGGGGATATTTCAAGAGAGGTTTGGGTGCCTCTTCATATAGCTCTTGTACATATTACAGTCTTTTCTAGTGTGTTTTTGTGGAGGTGAGACATCTATATTTGTGAGCAACACACCACTGATTCACAGGTTGGGGACTGGGGGTGATCCTTGAGTTCTGAGGAGTCATTTTACAGTGCTGCTTTCTCTTATTCTGGCAACCACACAGACTTTATGTCGGGGTGTTTTCTTTGTTAGCCAGATATCCTCACCTTCAGCAGCAGTAGTGGTGGCTGGTACTAGCTCTGTGCCTGACATTGGCTCCTGCAGTATTTAGTGGTACATACCAGTGTGCTGAGCAGGTTTGTTGTGGTGGGTCACAGAGCAGCAGGCAGCGGTGCCACCAGTTGCCACTGTTGTTGTCCTGCTCAGGGAGGAGCTGCAAAGACAGCTAGCTGGAAAGGGGAGGTGTGGCAGGTACGGGTGCTGCTGCAGAGGTGGAGGTGGCCAGAGATCCTGAGAGGTGTGAAACATTGGAGGTGTGTGACATGCAGCCTCCAGTGACATGCTTCCCCTCCAGTGATGGCCAAGTAAAGCCTAGCTCCTGACCCATCTACCAGGGAGGTTTGGGAAGCCTGATTGCTGTTTGTGATTTTGCAAAA